ACCCACTAGATGATTAGTACACCAGTCTTGTTCTGAAAGTTCTTAGAAATCCTGCAACACTGCTAATCTCATGCTAGTAGATTATTCTTTCTTTCTTTCTTTTTTTTTTTTGGTACCAGGGATTGAACTTGGGTCCTGTGCTTGTGAGGCAGGTGGCGGAACTACTGAGCTAAATCCCTGGCCTGAAAAGCATGTCTTTAAAGTATATATCTAGATACCCATCCTCAGGTTAAGAACAAGAACAGTGCCTGTGAAGATGTGCACTCTTCCCTAGTGCCCTCCATCTCCCGCCCCCCCCCCAGAGCAAGCTCCCTGTGTTGGGTGGTGCCAGGTAGGCTTCTTCCCCTGGCTTGCTCCCCGGGGTGCTGGTCCATCTTTGACCTATAGCGCCAGTCACATGTGCTGCTGCAGTCATGTAATTTAATTAAATGTTAGAGAATTGGATGCAAAGTAAATGTGTAACAGAAGTGGTGTTTCTGTGACAAAAACTTAAATGCTTTAGGAAGACTCCAAGGAAAATTCTGGAGAAATTGATGTTGAATGAGGCAAAATGACCGTCAGAGATTGACAAGAAAGGTTGTAAAATTTAGCATGGTTAGCAGTGTCCACTTAAAAGAAACAAAGTTAAAAATCACAAATTATATGTTGTGGATATGATTTATGCAAGAAAGTATAAAATGAAACTCCTTTAAATTTAGGTCCAGTTAGTGAGCCTATGTTTAAAGAAGTTTGCAGCTTGAGGGATAATTGTGTATTTTTATGTTCTGTGTTGAAATGTTTAAGACGTGTATCATGAGTCCGCTCTTAACCAGTTTTTGGCATCATCATTTGGCAGTCATGTTTATTTCAGACAGGAAGCCTTTCACCAATGTGTATAGCCCCATTTACAAGGCAGATTATTTGTGTTATACGTAGCTGAACATCATTTACGAATGATTTTACTTTTTTGTTATAAATGGTTATAGTTAGATTTTTGTGCATTAATTGGTCATGGGAATAATTTTTCTTTTTATGAAATTTTTCTGTAGTACCTGATTCTGCACTATAAGGTTACAGTGCTGAACTTTGAGAAATTGTTTATTAAAGAGCTACTGTATTTCCTTGGCACAGAATAATTAATGATTTTAAAGGTATCCAGAGAGTTAAGTCCCCCAGGCCGTTCTTGTCCTGCCCCCCCAGGAAGCCACTATTACTTTCTTCCTTATCCTTCAGACACCTTTAAAGCATGAATAAGTCAATATAGGTGCACAGTTTTTCTTTTATACAAATGGAGGCACAGTATACTCACATTCTGTTTCTTGTATTTTTATTTAGCATGCATTTTTGGAGCTCTCATATTAACATATAAAAAGATTCTGTGTTCCTTTCTCTTGATTTTACCCTGGTTCCATTGTATAAGTGGACCATAATTTATGTCATCAGGAACTTGGAATTTGTGACTCAGTGGTCTGAGTTTAGACCCAGCTGGCTTATAGTGTTCTAGAAAGGTAGTGTGGTTATTCCTTCCTTTGACTCAGATTTTTTTGCCTTTGATTGTGCCAGAGGGAAAAAAAAAACAGAACAAAATATAAAATATATGCTGCCTTTATGGAGCTTTCATTGTAGTTATGGAGAAAGATGGTGGTACGTGGCCTGTAAGAGTGAGATTTGTGCTGTGAAGGGGAGAGGTGCAGGAGGAGTGGCATGGAGAGTGAGGTCTGGCTGGTGGGAGGGTTACTTTTTTAAACAGAAGGTCAGGGCAGGTCCATCTGAAAGCATAGAACCTAAAGATGGGTGAGGAAGTGAGCCATTGTAGCTGCTGGGGGAAGAGCATTCTGGAAGAGATGTGCAATGGCCCTGTGTCAGAGTGTGGCTGCAGCTGAGAGCTTTTCAAGGCAGCGAATCTGAAAAGCATCTGTCTTCTTGTCCTGTCCTCATCAGGCTGTCTGGGTGATGGCCATTGATCATGAGCAGGGTGCCCTATGATGGGGGCCTGTTGGTGTTTCACTGTAGGGCTGCTGACCTGTGTGACCTGAGAGAGATGTGGCAGGCCCTGTGCTAGAGGCAGCACCAGTCTGCTGCTGCTCCTTGGGAAAAGAGTGGCTCTTCTGTATGCACTAGGGAAATGGGCAGCTTTGGAAGATGCATGGGCTGCATTTTCATGGTCCACTTGAGTGGCTTGAGAGATGCCTAGGAGATGAGTAAAGCACACCATGAGGCTGTTACATTGGGGACTGTATCTGGTTCCTTGCTGCTGCTTCTCCAGCTCTTTCCCCTTTACTCTGCTTCCTGGCAGTCATGAGGTGAGCAGCTTTCCTCCCTCAAACCCTTCTGCAATGATGTTCTTGCCTTGTAGCCAGCTGACCATGGATTGAAACCATGAGCCAAAATAAACCTCTCTTTCTTTAAGTTGTACATGTTGGGGACTTTGGTCACAGCAACAAAAAGCTAATACATGCATTGTCTACTGTGTGGCCAGGAAGTCACAGAGGGGCTGGAGCCCTGATGGTGAGACAGATTTATACCCCTCACAACTCCCCCAAAGCCTAGGTGACCAGTGGCCTCAGGACTGGAAAATCTGACATCCCTCTTGGTAGCCTCAGGGCTGGAGACAGCAGGCTTGGCCAGCCCAGGCAGCCTTGCCAGGGCCTGAAAGGGGAGGTTTATGTGCAATGTGGATTTAGTCCCTTCTCTCCAGGAAGGCATTAGCCACCTCTTCCCTGTCCTAGGCACTGCACATAGTCTGTATCACCCTCCCAGCACACACTTGTATTGACACCAGGTGAGTGCTTGTCACCCTTCTTACTGTCTAATGTTTTCTCTTCCTGTCACAGTGTACTTTTGGGAAAGTCAAAAACCCCATCTTGTTGGGTTGTGCCCCCCTTCCAGTCCGACTCTGGCTGGATCTCAGCCCCCAGAAATTTTAGACTGGATTGGAGGCCCTGGAGGTCCTGTTCTCTGGGGAAATTAGCACCCTGGAAGAGAGCACCAGGCTTCTCTTTGTTAACTGGTCTTACGGCTGTTGCTGTCTCATTCATTTTAGATGCTGGTGTCCCCTAGATCTGGTGTCTTTCAGACTTGCTGAAATGGGCACTTAGGGCTGACAAGAGCCATGGCATCTGCTATTAGAACCTCAAAATAGCTGCGGCTGGGCTGGAACTGCCTTTGCCTCAGAAATAAATCGGTGGGTTTGATCCCCACAACCTGCTGCTATTCTGCACACAGCTGAGTTTGAGTCAAAATTCAGCTGCAGATGGAACAGAAAGACTTTTTCCCAGAAAGCCCCCAGTTAGAAAGTGAAAGGCTTCGCAGCTGAAGCCAGAGTTTTCCGCAGCAGCTGTCACAGCTTGGGCTGCAGTTGGAACTGTCATATTCCTGTCATCTCTGTGTTGGAAGCTCCCGAGGCCCCGAATGCCTCTTACTTTGTAGTAGTAAAATACGAGTTTCAGAATGGACTGTCAGTGTTATTTTTAGGCCGTGATGGCACTTGGCATGACTCCTTCTAGTTACAAGCACTTAGTTAATCCCCGGAGTGCCCTGGGTAAGCATCTCTGAGTAGCTTTACCCACACACAGGTCAGGAGGCTTCTGGAAAACAAACACTCTTCCTGCCATTTGGGGGATATGGGCCTCTGGTCTCTGGATGGAGATGTGGGGAAGGCTGTGGCTGTGTGTTAATCTGCTCTGATTCCTTGGCTCACGAGGGCTCTCCTTCCCATGCGCAGCTCAGGATAGGCAGCCAGAGCCTGAGCTCCGCACCTCTCCCTGCTCCTGGACTCCAGGGCTCCTCCTTTCACATGTGCCCTTTGCCCAGGTGTGTGCCCGGCTAAGCATGTGTGGCGGGTGCCTCCTTTCATCAAGCTCCCTGCTTTTAGTGGGGTGCCATGGGCAGCTTTACTCACTCTGCTAGCTTGCTGTATGTTGATACACTTTCCTTAATTTTTTTGTTTTTGCTTTATGCATGTAATATATGAATTTCCATTGTAAGAAGCGTGCATGACATACATAAAGATTCCTTCATTGTCACCACTAAGCCCAGCTCTGACATGGGTGGCCTCTGAGACAGAGTTGGTGTTCCTTCTTGAACAGTATGTTGCGCACTGACAGGGATCTGATAAGATGTGAGAGCATGTGGGGTGTGTGGGGCCCAGCAATACTTTCCTGGCAGCTCAGTGTGTCAGCCTGCTTGCAGGGAGGGAGCAGCTGGAGGCACGGCCTTTGGGGCCAGTGCAGGGTGCCATGTCACCTGCTCAGGGAATCATTTGGAGACAGGGCCTAGGTTGTGGGTTTCTGACACATATAGCCCCACACCTGCCTTCTCTGTGCTCTTATACTCCCATGCTGAGGGTAGTGAGGAAAGCCAGTGTGTCCTCAGGCCCTGCACCCATGCATGTGTCTGGGAATGTCTGCTGTGAAGTCTCAAGAGATCCTGGGCTCATGCCCTGCTGCAGTGCTGGTCACAAGACGTGGCTGTGTTGGGTCTCACTGCATCCATGGATAGACAGGACTTTTCACAGCTGTGCACTGCCTGTCAGTCTCAGCTTCCTCACCTAAAGGTGGAACCAGTGAAGAGCAGGGCCGTGGAGCACTGGCCGAATAGTTTTCAGTGTTAGGAAGTGGCATGTGCATAGGGAATTGCGTTTCTGCTCTGCCCTTTGTTGCTGCACACACTGTTGTAGGGAAATGAGGAGAGGAGCCAAGTCCTGCCAAGTGTAGTCTTGGTTTGGGGCATTGGGTGGTGTTTTGCATATGTCCTTTCATTGGCACAATGACACTGTATGAGGTGTATCGTCCCTATTTTTGCCAGTGGGATAGAGTGAAGGCTACTAAAAGCAGATAGCCCATGTGGTATGTCTGGAGGCAGGCTGCCCTTGGACTCAGGCCATGGCAAGTGCTCACCGAATGGACTTATCCTGGTCTGAGTCATAAGTGGCTGGTGTGGGTCCTGGCCCTCTCTGTTGTGTGCAGGCCTAGGTTCACTTCTGGCATAGCTGAAACTGAGCATGTCTCTTTATCCCTCAGGACCCCGGAAGACCTTTCCAGATTCATTGTTGAGCTGCAGCAGCGAGAGCTGGCCCTGAAGGAGAAGAATAATGCCATCACCAACAGGTAGGCTGGTTGGGTACCTGTGGACACATACTTGTTTGGGTAGTTACAATGGTGCAGACTGGTGCCTTCCTGGTTCATGTAATATATTAGTCCGTTTTTCTTTGCTGTAACGAAGTACCTGAAACTCGGTACTTTTTAAAGAAAAGAGGTTTATTTAGCTCATGGTTTTGGAGATTGAAGGGCATGGCACCAACATGAACTTGGCTCTAGTGAGGACCCTGTGGCAGGTGGCAGGGTTTGTCACCACCTAGGGAGAGGGAGGGACTGAGTGTCCTTCTTGCACAGCAGCTCTCATGAACTCTAGCTATGGGGTTTGACAGTTGCCTGTGTCCCTTCTGGGGACAGCATCTTCCATGACCTATGGACCTCCCATGAGGCCTACTACCCAACACCACCATACTGCGGAGCCCCTGAGGACACGCTGAAGCATGGGCAAACCATGCCACTTGGGGATGGCCATGGGGTTTGCCTTGGTCAAGATGGTGGGAACGGTGGGTGGGGAGAGATGTTGCCCAATATTCTCGCTGTGTCGTGGTAAGACTCAGCTTGGGCACTGTGGTAATTGTCACACTGCTTAGTCACCTCTGGATCCCTGATGATTGGCTTCCTAGCTACTACCTCTTTGGTATTGAGTGTTCTCATCTTTGCAGCAGGCTGTGGACTTTATCAAGTGTAGGAACCTGACTCTAGGGATACAGGTCTCTGTGTGGACTTGTGTCCTTACGGAAGGCCTGCACAGAGTGTTCAACCTCCTGATCCCCTTGATGTGAGTGACAAGCATCTTGCCCAGCTGGTTTGAACCATGTGTCCCCAGCCTATCTGAGAGGGGCAGCTGCAGGGTTTCTCCAGGCATGGTGTTAGGGTTTCCTCCTGATATGGCATGTGTGGTATCTTTTCCAACATGTCATCTCCGACTCTGGCACCCTTTGGGTGTCTTAGGGTTCTCTTTAGTTCATTTCTGACACTCCTGGGAACTAGTAGGTTCTAGGGCTCATTCCCACAAGACTAACTTCTCTTGGGTGCCAGAGGCAAGTAACAGATCCTCAGGTTGCCCACATTTTTGTCCAGCTCCAAATTTAGGACATCCTATGTCCCCCTCCTCAGATTTGATGATGTCCTGAACTCGGGCAGGTGCCTTACTTTTATAATCCTGACTTATTATGAAGGCTCTAACTAGGGAGGAGCTGGATAGGAGGTTGCAAGCCGCACTGAGGGCATGGTGCTTCCTGCCTGGGAAGTGCATCCTCCCGTCCGTCCCTGTGATCACCAACCCTGAAGCTCCTAATTCTTGTTAGGAGTTTTCACAATCCAGTCTCCAGTCCTTGGTTCTGTAAGTAAATCTGAAAGTTCCCACCCTCTCTGAACCACTGGTCTTATTGTAACCAGCTCCCATCCTGAGCTCTGCGAGGCTACTTCATTAGCACAAACCAGATATGCTCTAAAGGAGCTCATTGTGAATGACGAAAGGCACTCCTGTCACCCAGGAGATGCTTTTATCAGGAGTGAGGACACAGGCTAAGGATGGACTGTGCTCTTTTTATGTGCCTGGGCTCTTGTCTTCTTGCCCATCATTTGGCTGCTCAGACTGGTTTCTCACCCAGGCTTGGGTGTCATCTCCACAGGTAGGATGGAGTGGCCTCTTTTCTGGAACAAGGACACATTTTCTAGACCCCCACCCCCACCCCAGATCCCCTTCATTGACTAAAAGAGGGCCATGTGCTTACCGGCCCCAGACAATTATTGACAGAGAAGATGGGGTTGCTGTGATGAGCTTCAGGTAGTCTGGTGCATGCTTGAGTCACCTGTGATGGGGGACTGCTATGTGGCTTGACCTGAGATGAGCAGGGCCATAAGGCCATATGCCAGTGATATGGCTGATCTGTGAGTAGCTTCTGGAGCCAGTCTCTTTGCTGTTGGTTATCATGTTGCAGCCTCATCTTCCCATGGAGATAGTGTTTTAATAATTTATTAATAGCCAGAAGGAAAGGATTCTTATTTTGGGGGCTGATGTCACTTTGAAAATCGAATTTTAGAAGCAGCTGGTTATGTTGGACATAATCACATCAATTTACTTTATAAAGCTCAAATGATAAAGATTGCCTTTTGCTTTCAAAGCCACTGTCAGATAAAACAGGCATGAAAAGTGATTTGGAATTAAAGCTTCAACATTTTGCTGGGTGATCCTCTTCATTTTACTCTGACAATGAAAGAGAATGAGCTATCAATGGAAAAGAACCTTGTCTGCATCTTTCTTCCCCGAAACAGTAAGGTGTTTTCTGCTTTTAACTGCTTTGACCTGTACTGGCAAGCCCAGGTTCTACCCCGAGAACCACATGGAAGGGGAGGCATGCTGCATGTCTTGCTAAACAACCTGCTTGTGGCTGAAAGTATGGACTAGACCAGCCCTTTTTGGGGGGGTCAGTTTTGAATGGATTCTCTCTCAGAGAGCTGCCTCTGCCATGGGCAGGCGGTCTTTGACTCTAGACCATTGCCCACCTCTCAGGATCCCTGGACTCCTCTGAGAGCCTGTGTGGCTGCCCTGGGTGGAAGGCAAGTTTCAGGGTATTATGTAGAAGTGTTCAGTGCTTCATACTCTTCTGCAGATGAGGCACCTGTTTTACTCACTTTCCATCACTGGGATAAAGTACCTAACACCACACCTTAAAGGAGGGTTCTTTTGGGTCATACTCTCAGAGGGTTCAATCTACAGTCTGCTAGCTATAGGGCAGAAACAGCACAGTGGAAGGGTGTAGTGAGGGGAAATGGTTCAGTGTTTCCCATGGTGCTGGGAAACAGAGAGAGACCCAGGCCCCGCCTCCTAACAGCACATTTAGCCATGAACTCATTAATGGATTCACTTGTGCGTCTCATGCCCCATAATCTCCTCACCTTTCAGCATTCCCACCTCTGAACTGAGTGCCACCATGCTTCTTTCTCTGTGGTATTGCTTGGTCCCTGAGGATCTGACATGTGGCCCTGTCACACGGGTGGTCTTGTCCACTGTCCTGTGGGGCTAGCAGTGGTGCCTCTCTTGTTCACAGACAGAGCTGGTACCTTTTGTCCTGGAAGCATTGGTGTGCTGTTGCATGGCTGTCCTGCCCTTCACAAGCCCATTGCTGGGTACTTTTCTGTGGTATTTTGCTATTTTAAACAACACTATGGTAGACTTTCTGCAGCAAGGTCCTTGAACACAGACTTTCAAGGATGAATTCTGCAGTGGGGTCCAGATGGCCTGTAGATCAGCAGGGACTGGTTTCATGGAAGACAATTTTTCTGTATACCCAGTTTGTAATCATCCTGGGTGTTGGGGAGCTCGGCTTTAGAGGGCAGGTGGTATGTATCCCCCAGGGTATAGCTCTTCCCCGAGCAGTAGAACCAATGCTGGTCTCAAGCACCCTCATCTGGGTGTTACAGTTCCCTTCTTAGCCCATCTGATATGTGGAATGCCCATGTCTTCCTGCTCACCTTCTCTGTAAGCATGCTGTCTGCCACACAAGAAGGTGGAAACTAGAAAGTGAGTCCCATGGATTGTTCTCCTCCTTGGCATTTTCCCTGTGTCCCAAAGGCCTGGCTTCTGTGTTCTCTTTGTGGTACCGTAGTAGCTCTGGCCCATGGCCAGCTGATTCAGTCTTTCCACGGGTTCTGAGTGAGGGTGGCTGCTGGCTAAGGGCCGTAAGGAGAAAGTACTTCCTGCCATTGAGCTGTATATGGCTTCACCTGGGGATAAGGCAAAGCATGGTTCTGGATTCCACATTGGACTGAAATTGTCTTTTTTCTTTTTTGATTGTACTGTGGATTGTACCCAGGGCTTTGCACATGGTAGGCAAGTATTCCACCACTGAGCCATAACCCCTGCCCCCCTCCTTTTTTCGTACCAGGGATTGAACTCAGGTCGTTCTGCTTGTTAGGCAGGCGGCGGAGCCACTGAGCTAAATCCCTGTCCCATCCCTGCCCTTTAAAAAAAATTTTTATTTTGAGATAGGATCTTGCTAAACTGTTTAGGCTTGCCTTGAACTTTGAGATCCTCCTGACTCAGCCTCTTGAGTAGGTAGGACTGCAGGCTTGCATTGCCACACACAGCTACAAATGGTTTTTCTTAATGCTTTGCTGCCCTTTGGGCTGGAGCCTGGAAGCCCAGTGGGTGGGCTGGTGCTTCCTTTTGATCATGGGCTGGCATTTGAGAGATGGGAAACTTTCTGAGCCCTTCCAAATGGCAGGAGATGGGACACATACTCCCCTTAGAAGAGAGGGAGGACCCGGTGCTTTACATCATTTACTCAGGTGCATTTCCTTATCTTGGAATGGAGAGAGAGAGGCTCTCTGTAACACCCCTATGTTCACCGCCCCCAGTAACCTGTGAGGACACAGTTGGTGTTGAACATGGTCCTTAGCTGGCCCTGCAGCTGGGGAAGGGGCAGGTTCTTCTTCTGTGGGCCTGGGTGGCTAGCAGAGCATCAGTAGGAGTCTTGTCAAGGAGGGCTGTATGTTGCTGTCACAAGCCCTCAGGCTGGGATCTCTGTTTCCCTTTCTTTTCTGCTCTGATAGCTCAGGACACCACCCATGACCAGCATGAGTGTCTGGCAGTGCCTGTCCTGGAGCTTGCTTCACCCCCAGCTTCAATCTGGCTACCACACAGGAAGCCTAACCCTTTCTCCTGCCTAGCACTTACTGTCCTCTGAGTGTGATTATGTCCCTTTTCTACACCTGTCTGCTCCACCACCCACCTTCTGTGGGGCTGGCTGGACAGGCACTCCCACCATGTCTAACGGGAACCTAGTGGGTGCTGAGATAGCCTTGGCTGTCACTCCCTGTTGGGACCTGGTTGATCTGCTAAGAAAGCAGTAGACGTAAGGCTGGGATGCAGACCTGTCTGTCTCCACAGTTTGAGGATTGTTATGATTTATATCAAGGACCCCCACCCCCAAGCTTCATAATAGGGGTTTGGGGAGGTAACTGAATCATGGGTGTGTGATACTGGATTAGTCCATTGATGGGTTTGT